GCAGTTATTACCTTAGCACCTAATGAAATTCTTATCCATGGGAGATTATGTAGTTAATGCAGTTATATTAGGGACACTAATAATGGGTAGTGATAGTGAACAGTTGACAAACTTTTGTAACTAACAGGTTTGTATTATAGACCATAAAAGCAAACATTGTGTCTATATAGCTAGGCAGATATTAAGTTGGGAATTTGTAAGTTCTGCCTGATTACCTCCCTTTGGTACACATGGGTTCTTCCAAGAGAATAGTTCCCCCTGCTTACCTGTTGCCCCCTCTCTCAATGAAGAAAGAGAGAAGATGCTGTTATAGATGTGGGTCTAGCAAAGTTTCACACCTTACCTGGTCTGGATCTACCAAGTTCAAACTTGTCCGGGTGGGTGTGGCTTGGGTCTGGCTGCCATGCTCACTTGTTCCTGCTGCATCCCTTAGAAGTGAATCCGGTGTGTCATTCTGGCAAGATGTTCTGCTGCTGGATCAGCTGAGTGGGTCTTGCCTCTAGTCTCTGCAGGGAGTTCTGCCACTGGGTTCTGTCTGATGGTCCGTGTGAGTGTGCGTTTGGTCCCACACACATGTTGGGCCTGGGCTCTGACTGGAAAGGAATCCGGGGAGTGTGCAGAAGTTCCCACACACAGGCCAGCCCTGTGCTCTGGCTGGAAAGAGGCCTGAGGAGAGTGCACAAGGTCCACTCTTTGTTCTTATTAGTACATGTTTGCAGTACACAATGATTACATTAATTGTGGCAATTTGGTACATGCACTTTATTTTCTGTGCCATTCCCTCACTCTCTCTAGTTCATCCCTCCATCTGGTCCCCTTTGCCTCTGCTAAAGTTTTGTCTCTATGCTTTCTGTTTGCTCAATATTGGCTTTAGTTCAGGCTTGCCTTTAGCTCACTTTGTAGCTTAGGCTGATTGGTCTCAGACTCGCAGCAGTCCTTCTGCTTCAGCCTCCCCACTAGCTTTTGTCGTTTTTTTAAATATTTATTTATTTATTTGGTACAGATAGTTTCAGGCCAGCATGGTGTATGGTACCAGGGATCGAACTCAGGTCCTTGTGCTTGCCAGGCAGGTGCTTAGACAGCTGAGTTATCTCCCCAGCCCTAGCTTTTGTCTTCTTAATGACTTTTAATTGTGCTGATAGAAATAAAACTAGTTATTAACTAGTGGAAACATACTTTTAAGAGATTCAAATGAATAGATATTTTCATCCTAAGAAAGGATTTTTAGTCCCTTTCTTGAGATGAACAGACATATCCTCTCTTTTTACTAGATAGGAGGAAAAAAAATAAAACAAACTTACTAAATTTTAAATAAGTGGGGAAAAAAGGCATAGTCTTCTGTGGGTGATGAGAGAAGCTAGTGTTTTGTGTGTGCAAGGACCTGGATGAGAACAGGTCGAATTTGGGGCTGCATCAGTGCAACACACAATACACAAGAAATATTCTATTCTTAATATTGGTGGAGGAAATGCTAATGTGAAACAACTGATCAAGCCTTGGTGAATTTGGCCTCCCTTTCATGATTTTTTGAGTCAGAGTAAACCCTTTTCTTTATAGTTTACTGAATTTCAAAATTGTTCAAACAGTTAACCTACAAGTAGAGCAGAATCAGGATGTTATGGCTTACCTTAAAACTTTGTGACAGCTAATTTGCACAAGTGTTTAAATTCATTAGAAAAAGAAGTGAACTGTGTATCAAATTTTTGTTGGCAGATGCACTAATATACAAAGGTGTCATTAGGTTTGGGAATGTAGATTAGTTGGAGAGCCTTGCCTTCTATATGCCATGATCTGGATTCTACCACATTATTATAAAACTTTAAGGAGAAATGAAAAATGTTGAGTTGAATTGAAATTTATTCACTGAAATCAGAATTTAGAAGACATATTTGTATTCCCATATGCATTGAAAAATTTTCTCAATATTCATGGTACAAAAACAATATAAATCTACTTCGAGGGTTCTGTGACTTTTTTGTTGCTAAGAAAAAAATAGCTCACATAATTTAAAGGGAAAGGATTACTTTGAGTCAGTTTCAGTGCCTTAAGTCCTTGTTCAACCTGCTTCATGCCTTATAGTCCTGTAGGCAGGAAGATACACCATTACAGAAAGGCATGGTGAGAAAACCTGGTTACTCTTATTTTACTCAGGAAGGGGGGCAAGGTGCAGAAATAAAATGTACCATTCTAGAGCATACTCCCCACAACCTTCCCATAAAAACATCAGTAAATTAACCTGCAAACAGAGCAAAATCAGCATTTTATGGCTAAATTCAAAACTTAGCTACAAAGCTTACAGAATATGGCATTTGCCAGCTACTTCATTCCATAAAATATTTGAATGCACATGAATAATATGGTTTATTTTGCAATAAAATATTATTTAGTTTCAAAAAAGGACAACTTTCTGTTCATAACAATGTGTTTTAACGTGGAGATCATTAACTGCAGTGCTCCAAACATAAAAATGACCACTTTTGTATTGAGAACCCACAGTAGTCCACTAAACAGAAGCAGAGAGTTTAATGGTGGTTGACAGTTTGAAAACTGTACAAAGTTAATGTAAAGTTGCAATATATAAAGCAGATTCTGGAAACTGGTGACTATGATGAATGTTACGTATCCTACGTAGGTTTGGAATTGCTAGCAATAGCTTTTAGCATTTTCACCCCCGTACTGAAAAATAACTGTATTAGTTGATAGATATTCTAGATAGGTTATGATAATATTTCTCAATGTAGACATATATTGACACATTTAGCTGCGCAGTTTCAATATATATATATTTTTACCTGACCATTTTGCCTCAATGAAATGAATTTAAAATTGTCGAATTAGGGAAATTTAAAGTATCTATGGCTATAGATGTCTCTAAAAATTTAACCACTTATAGTTAACCATTTTGAAGGCTAATAAATCTAAGATCATGGTGTATATAATTTAAATATTTAGTAAAGTGTAGATGGTGCATTTTGGCTGTTTTCTCACATAGCCAGAAAGATTTTGGTTTCCTAATGTGTGTGTGTATCTCATTTTGACCTTATGGCTTTGTTCATTCCCAGTGTTACCACCATGTTGAGGGATAGGATTTAACACGTGAAATTTGGGAAAGCTGGGTTGGGGACATAACTCCCAGTACCTCATGTCATGCTGGTGGGTGTGCTGTGCTGGCGGGCACACCGTGCAGGCCACCAAAACCAGGTATGGTGGCACATGCCTGTAATCCCAGCTCTGGGGAGACTGACATGGGAGGATCACTATGTGTCCGAGCTGCATAGTGAGACCATGTACCAAATAAATAAATAAATAAATAATTTTTTTTTTTAAATTGAGAAAGCTTAGCTATTTAGAGCATGGCAATTACTTAAGGAAGTAATCTATGTTGAGCAATGTTAGGCATTATTTATGACAATGCTTCTTTAAGGATTCCTGTGCTAATTTATAATCCACATTGAGAAGTTATAAGGGTTAGAAACTTTTCTATTCTGTTTAGACTTTAGAAAAATAATGCAACTCTGGATATTATAAAGTAAATGAGATGCAAATATTAGAGATTATGCATAACATATTAAAATGTCAGTGACAGAAGCAATTATTATTCCCATTTCATGAGTGACTTTTTTTTCTTATGAGTGACTTCTTGATGTCAACAAGAAGCTTTGCCCTTGAACCTTTCGTGTTTACCTCATAACCACAGGCAAGTATCACATAGGATGGAAAAATGTTGAAGAGGAGACAGATTAAGATATCACAGGAAATGAGTAGTGTCACCATGGTATGATGCTAAGAGTTCATCTTATAGTCATAGGTCCCTGTTATGTCTTTCCTAAATCAACTCCTCTTCCTTTTCCCCACTCCTTCTCCAAGGTAAATGTACATTTTATTAGTGGTTTTCCTCTTCACTTAACTCGAATATCTGACTGCTAGTGAGTCCGTTCCATTGAGTTCTCCACCAACAAATTTCACATTCTCAAAAAGAAATACCATAGCCTTCTCATTTTCTACCTTCACCTATTTCTTTACTGTCCATTATAGTTCTGTCTTCATTGGTCTTTTACTCTGGAAAACTCAAAATGTTACTATGGGATTGAATGAGGTAACATTTTATCTCTCTGGCTCTTCTATACATTCACTACCTGCTTGCATTTAGTGCATTTTTCATTTATGTCTTTGGTATAGGGTCTCACTATGCAATTCAGACTCATAATGATCCTCCTGTTTTCAGCCTCCTCAGTGCTGGTATTACAGGCATGCACCACCACACCTGGACTCCGGTGGGTCACCAACCAGCTTGCCCTGAGGGGAGGGCCAGCATGGCATGCGAGACTAGGGATCAAACCCTGATTCCTGTGCTTGCCAAAGCAGGTGCTTGTTCTGCTGAGCTACCTCGCCTGCCCATTTTTTTTGTGCATTTTTAATGCTAGAATTACTCCCTTTACAGCCACATCAAAGTTCCAAGCCTATATTTCTGGAGAGACTTGTCATGCTGGTTTTCCTGATATAATTTGGCTATTCTCATCAGAAGAGCTTGGATCCTTACTGTAACTGAGGACGAGTGCAGTTCTTTTTGGGAGAACACAGATCCTTCATCCTGTTGGTGCAGTTTCCAGTTTCCACCACTGATCTTTGATCCTTTCCACTGCAGATCCTTGGCACAGACTTACAAATAAAACAGGCTAACCAGCAGAAGAGTAGTATTCTCATTCCACTGTTACTTTAGCAATAATTTCCAAAGTGCCATCAAAATTTCTATGAGGCCAGGGAGATAGCTTAGTGCTATAAGTGTCTGCCTGGCAAGCACAAGGTCCTGTGTTCAATCCCTGGCTTTAAAGTGTGAGATGTACTTATTGGATAGAAAATAGGTGTTTGATGACCAAGCTATAAAGCATACATTTAGAGGAGTCAGCCTCATTTCGGCTTTTTATAAGCGAGTTTGTGTAAGTAGATGTTTCATGTTGTGCTCTAACTCTTTTTCTGAAAATATATGTCTGATGATTTAGGAGGCAGTGACCTTTGAGGATGTGGCTGTGAAGTTTACCATGGAGGAGTGGGCTTTGCTGGATCTATCCCAGAAGAATCTCTACAGAGATGTTATGTGGGAAAACTTTAGGAATGTGGCTGCTATAGGTAAGGAATCAATCACTTTCTCATTTATGTAGTCAAACAGCACTAGTTATTATGTATCAGTGCAATTTCCTTCACTGGCATGTGGAAATATTTTGATGAATCTTCCAGACTTGGTCACATTGTACCATGAATCTGATAAACCCATTAATGTTTATGTAACTGATCATTACATTTCTGTTTCTACACTTTAGAAAGAAACTGGGATGATCAGCAAATTGAAGATGAGTACAAAAGTTGCAGGAGAAATGGAAGGTAATTTGCACTCACAAGAACAGTGTTTTAATGTTCATTAAAAGTCAGAGTATGAATAGAAATACTAAAACCAAGCATACTGTACAAGTGAAGCCATGTTTGTATTTCCTTAATCTCAAAAAATTTCTCCAAAGATGCACACATGTTAAGTATCTATAACCTAGCAATTGAATATCTAGTATGTCCCAGTATCTGAAACTTAGAGAGTACTGACATGCCACAAGTGATATTATCTACCATATCAGAAAAAACAAGTCATTTTCCATGCTCAAAATTGTAAAATTTGTATGAAATTGTGTATTGTGTTTAGGCATTGACTGTTGGTGTATATAAAACAAATTTTGTGTTTAGACTGAAAGCTATGTTTAGGATATTTAAATATATACACTTATGAGTATTTAAAGACCAATTTCATGTCAAACATGTTGCATAAGGAATGTATATATTTAAGTATATGTATTTAAATGTCTGCTTATTCAGCATTTCCAAAATTGCTAACCTTGCAGAAGTATTCAAAGTCCAAATCTATAGCACTATTTTGGTAATAGGTGTTTTCAAGCAGGCTTATGAAGCACTCATCCATCATATTCCAAAATAAAATTTTTTTTAATGTATTTAGTACAGTGTCTACAGGGTCTCACTACACAGATTGGACTCAGTGATTCTCCTGTTTTGAGCCTCCCAAGCACTGGGATTACAGGCACATACCATCACACCCAGTTTCATTCGCCATCTCAGTACACCCCGGAGGTGGGGCCGGCATGGCACGCTGAGAATCAAACCCCGTTTAGTCCACTGAGCTATCTAGTCAGCCCATCCAAAATATTGTAATGTACATTCCTATATTGTTGCTGGGAATATAACATAGAATAACTTCTATGGAAGTGTGTGTAGAAATTATTTTAAAAAGAATAAATAGAAATTCTATTAATTCTTCTAGGTAAATAATCTCTATAAAGTTAATCATATCATACTGATATATGCATATTCATGTTTGTAGAAGTACAACTTACAATAGCTAAGTGCCAGAAACAGTCTAACATGCCCATTCACAGACAAGTACATTAAGGAAACATGAAACAGCCAGGCACAATAGTGCCTGCTTAGAATTCTAGCACTCTGAAAAGCTGAGATAACAAAATCATACATTCATGCCTAGCCTGGGAAATTTAATGATGATGAGAATGTCTCAAAATAAAAAATAGGCAAGACTGGGGGGTGTAGCTGAGTACCAAAACCTTGTATTCCATCTCCACTACTGAAAAAAATATGGCATATATATTTTTTGGAATAGTATTCAGTCATAAAGGATAATGAAATAATGTTACTTAACCCAAAAATGGATGGATCTGGAACCCATAATATTAAGCTAAAGAAGTCAAACACAGAAATTGCAATTTCTCATGCTATATTTTATATGAGAAACCCTAAATAGGAATTGAGTAAAATGAAGAAGAGGTGGTAGAAAAGAGAGAAGTAGGCATTTTGGAGAAGGATAAAAAGGCCCAGAGGAACGGAGAGGTGTTAAAGTCAGGGAGTAAAGGGTATCAAAAATAACATAATACCAGTTTTTCAAAATGAAGTATTGTATATGGAAGACGTGTGTTATAAGCTCCCAAATGAATTGCTGCTGTCTTGTTAAAAGCTGTTTTCACAGTATCATCCAGAATTTACAGTGAATTTATGATCAAATATTCTAGGGGGAATCAAACATGATCTCCTCCTGGTAAATCACTAATAATAAGAAACTTTTATTAATGTGATTCGTTATTTTGTTATCTCTATTCTTTTACAGAAGTGAAGAGGTAAGGAAATGCTGTCAATATAAATTATGTCAAAAACATGGAGAAACAGGTTTTTGGACTCCAGATACTAATATGCATGTGAAGGCAGTTGGTACCAAACAAGGTGAAAGTCTTGCTTGTAGAAAGTCCCTCATTAATCATTCATTGTCTAATTTGCCTGTTATGGCTAACACTGGACTCAAATCCTATCAGGGATTTGAAGAGAAGCTCTCTAACTGTAACAAACATGGCAAAGCCTCCACTGACTTCCAGTCCTTTGAGAAGCATACAGAGACAAATCTTGGAGATAAGCCCTATGAATATAAGCTGTGTGGAAAATCTTACTCTGAAGGCCTTGAAGGAAGTACCATTGAAGAGAAACCCGTTGTATATAAACAAGATGTGAAAACCTTCAGTGCACCCAACTATGTTCAGATCTGTGAAAGAAATCACAGTGAAGTGAATACCTATGTATGTATACAATGTGGAAAAACTTTTAATTCTCACCATGATATTCAAATACATGAAAGAGCTCACACTGGAGAAAAACCCTATGTATGTAAGCAGTGTGGGAAAGCTTTTAGCACACACAGTCATTGTCAAAGACATGAAAGAACTCACACTGGGGAAAAGCCCTATGTGTGTAATCAATGTGGAAAAGCTTTCCGAACGCACAGTAATTGTCAGATACATGAAAGAACTCACACTGGGGAGAAGCCCTATGTTTGTAAGCAATGTGGGAAAGCCTTCAGCAGACAAGACAATTGTCAGACACATGAAAGAACTCACACTGGGGAAAGGCCCTATGTATGTAAGCAATGTGGGAAAGCTTTCAGAACATACAGCCATTGTCAAAAACATGAAAGAACTCACACTGGAGAGAAGCCTTATATATGTAAGCAATGTGGGAAAGCCTTCAGCCGGCAAGGTAATTGTCAAAAACATGAAAAACTTCACACTGGAGAGAAACCTTATGTGTGTAAGCAATGTGGAAAAGCTTTCAGCACACTTGGTAACTGTCAAATACATGAAAGAACTCACACTGGGGAGAAACCCTATGTATGTAAGCAATGTGGGAAAGCTTTCAGGACACATGGTAATTGTCAAATACATGAAAGAACTCACACTGGGGAGAAACCCTATGTATGTAAACAGTGTGGCAAAGCTTTCAGCAGACGCTGTACTTATCAAAAACATGAAAGAACTCACAATAGGTTGAATTCCTATGTAAGTAACCAATGTGGGAAAGTTTTCAACACACATGGAAATTGTCAAATAAATGAAGGCCTTACATTGGGTAGAAATGTTGTGTATGTAACAATATGGCAATGTATTCAGTACACAGGGGTATTGACAAATACATGAAAGAACTATATATATATATATGGAACCCTATGTATGTAAGCCTTCATTTACTCCAGTAAACATTATGTACACTGTAAAAGTAAAAAAGAATTTGACTTGAATATGTAAAGTGAATGCACTGACATTAAAGACTTACAGTACAGGCAAACCCTTTCTTTGTAACCAATATAAAGTCTTTAGTACAAATAATTATCATTACATATGAAAATTTCATAGTAGAATCTGAACATGAGCAATGTGGGCAGGGTTTTTTTTTTTTTTTTTTCTCAATGCATTCAGATTGTATGTGATGGCCAGGGGTATAGCTTAGTAGTACAGTACCTACCTGACAAGTACAAGGTCTTGAGTTCAATTCCTGGTACAAAAAATGTATGTGAAAGAGGAGTGTAATCAATGTAGGAAACCTTTCAATTTTTCCATTTAACTTGAAGTGTAGGAAGAACTTAGTAAAGAAAAGCCTAGGTTGATAATGTGGGAAAGATTCTGTGGTTCCATATTCTCACAAAATGTACACAAACTCACAAAGAGCATCAGTATAAATGCAGAATCTGAGAAGTCTTAATTTTTACATGACTTTTCATGCAACCATGGAATTGCATCATGAAGAAACTTGTATCAATGTGTATTTTGTGGGAACACTTTTATAGCCATTTTGGTGTTACTCATATTACAAAAGAACACAGCATGTAATAAGCCATTAATTTAAGAAGTGTAGGGGCTGGGGAGATGGCTCAGTGGAATAATCGCTTCCCTGGCAAGTGTAAGGGTCTGAGTTCAATCCCCGGTTCTGCCAAAAATAAATAAATAAATAAATAAAATTTAAGAGGTGTACGTAGTTGCTAGTTGTTCTACATATGAAATACATACTGGGTCAAAACCCTGTGCATATACAAAGTTCTAAATCATAGCTTGTATTTTAAAATCATTTGAACATTTCTCATGTATTGCAAACTTATACAAGTAAGTTATATGAAAATGAGCTATGAATTATTTTTCCAGACAATACACAACAAGAGATACCCTAAAATATATAGTAAACTCCCTCTTAAAGTATTTATCTCTGGATTACATATTTCTAAGTTTTTTTTTTTTTCTTTGTATTGGTAATTGAACTCAGGAACTTGGCTTGCCATCTAAGTTCACTTATAATAATAAATGTGTTCATATAATTCTGGATGTTCTAAGCAATAGTGGGAGGGTTTAATGCTCTCTTTTCATTAAATGAATTGATAAATCACTCTTTGTTTTGCACCATGTTAGATGCATAGGTGAATTACAATGTATTTATTTGCCCACAGGGTCCTATTTTTGTAGGTCATTTTTTTGTCCCCTTTGTTATGTTGCTTTTTAGTTTTGTTTCTAGAAATTGTAGCATAATATGACCTGAAAAATGAGTTTTTGCTAATTGTTGTAATTTTACTAGTAGCTTCTATGTATGTAAATTTTTGATGCATATAGTCCATTTTGCCATTTTTCTAAGAAAGGTATTTTTAACTGGATATTATTTTGTAATTATAATGTATATTTTCAAAATATTGTGTTTTACATAGTTTAAATGTTTCAAACAACTTGTAGATTAACAAATACTATGTTTTCCATAGTCTGAGAAGATATTTACATATATATATATATATATTCCAGTGTAATTACAGATTATATGTAGTACATAATTTTGCCCTTTTTTCTCTGATACAAGAGCCATTATAATGTGTATAAAATTTTAGGGCTTTTTAATAAAAAATTTCACTCTTGTATTGCCATGATTTTTTTTGGTGGTCATCATACTGGTCATCATACCAAACATTTAGAGCCATGAGTCCCCACCTGTCACAGAACAGGAGGAGATATCTTTTCTTAAAAAAGATATAATGAATTGTAGTAATTAATCTCTACACAAACTATAAATGGTGGTAAGGCAGAACATTCTCAAAGGAATTGTTGGGAGTCTTGAAATGTGGGAAGAATGATTTCAATTCATGATGATGAAAGAAAATTCTTTATTCCTTGATATTGTGAATACCATTCAGTCATTGGAAATTAATTTTTTTACCTGAGAATCTCCAAGCAGCTTAGGAAAAGATATAATAGACTTATTTTTGTGATTAAGATTGTGGTCTAGTTTACAACTCTTAAGATAAATTTATACAATATCATCAGCAAAAGGACCCCTATCTGTCTTATGATTGAAGGAAGTGATATATCGTCAACCCACATAAATATTTGTGCATTCTTTGAGTCCATGTCTAGTATCTTTGCCTCGTTGTTGCCTTTTTACTGCCAAACACTGAAGTATTTTGTAAACTATTTTGAATTGTTTTCCCCTTGAATACAGTAGCTGCTCAGTTTACCATGGGGTTACATTCTGATGAATCCATCCTAAGGTGAAAACAGGAGACATATGCATTGAAATATCTAATGCGAACAGTATATCTTATCCTAACTTAATTATGCTTATACAATTAAATTGGCTATCTGTTGGGCATCATCATCAAATGTTGTCTATTTTTTATTAAATAAACATAGAACATCTCATGTAATTCATAAAATAAACTGCATTGCACAGTACTCTATTTTTATGTTTGAACATGTGGCTAATTTTATTGTATTTCACCTTTTATTTTTTACCATCATCTGCAGTTTCAATAGTTCTTATGGCTATTCCAGCCAGAGAGAGGATAGTAAAAGTAGAAAATATTTTATCCTGACCACATGTTTTTGCTACCATCTTAGAATAAAAAAATCATGTTGATACTGGTAGATTGTAACTGTTACTGAACCTACTCAAGAAGCAGACCTGGAACAGAATTGCAGAAATAAAGCCAGCTTGGGCAATTGAGTGGGATCTTGTCTCAAAGTACATCATGAAAAGCCTGCTGATGTGTTTCATTACTTTAATACTGTTCATTAAAAGTTTTCTTTTTTAATAATATATGTATAATAAAAATGTTATTTCTTTATTTTACTCGCTACTTATATGATGATATAATTGTTTGAATTGCATTTCATCATAGCTCCTATTCCAAATTTTCCTTTCATCTGACAACACAGAGAACACAGGTGATCGCCGAACCCACAAACCTCATATGATTTTTCTTCCATTGTGATTGGCATATTTGCATGTATCTTTTACTGTGTCATAAACATGAAATTCAGAACTGCACATGATTGATGTTATATATCTTAGGGTCAGTGAAACTTGCAAAGTTCTCCTGGAATGAATGCACCAGGTGGGAATAGCAATTTATGGCAATAGATATCCACATCCCTAGGGGCCGGGGAGATGGCTCAGTGGAATAAGCACTTCCCTGGCAAGCACAAGGGCCTGAGTTCAATCCCTGGTTCCACAAAAAAAAAAAAAAAAA